GACGTGTTAATTGCTGAATAGATTCATGCATGCTAATGTAATAAAAGCTTTTCTTGTGACGGTGAAATACACACACACACACGCACACGCACACAAACATATATGAAAAATTCTGAAAATAAACATTTCAGAAACCATGCTTGAGTAATCGTCTAAGTGCATTTATATGCTGTCAAGCTTGCTAAGACGACTTTCCTCTACCTGCAAATATACTGACAAGGCCTGAAATGTACCTCCTTTTAAAATTTCAACGTAGTTTCCATGGGAACCATAAAGGTCAATAACAAATTCATTGCACTGCCATTACAGTCACTGTTAGTCAGGAAAAAAACCTTTTATTAAAAAAAGAGAGAGAAATCTTAGGTGCAAATCACCAGGAGTGATCCGCATCACCCTTGACAGTATAGAAGGAGAAAAGCGAGGCACTTAAAGGCACACTTGACTGCTTGTGGATAACTGGGTCCCTAAATTAATTTATCCCTTTTAAATGTCAGCTGTCATCCTTTGCTGAAGGCATTACGCATATCATGTTAAAATCCCTCACCACCACGTCCACCCGCTTTCCTCATACTGGGTACGCAAAGAAAAATATTCATTGATATTGACAGAAATCTAATTGCATCAGCCCAGGACGTAGTGTTCTAATGAATAGTAATAACATATGAATGAGGATTATGCTGTTTTGGGGAAATGCAAAGCAGTGTCTCCATATGGGGACAGAAAATCTGTAGAGCGGAACCCATAATGAATACGGCTCAGGTGTTGACAGTTAGCTGGGATTCACTCACCTGTGTCTATGCTAACATTCACAGCAGTCTTCATACAATAACTCCCCCGCCATCTCACACACTCCCAAACCATTCCATTCCACCCAATCCGCTGTTGGGGCCTGCAGATATTTACATGGATATTGCTGTTGGAGATGCTGAGCGCGTTGGACGAAGATGTTAGTGTGTCAGAGACTACCACATTATCCTGAGGGAAGTCTGTGTCTGCTCCTCATGTCAAATTACATACAGATACATGTGAGCATGTGAAAAGAAACATGTCACTCATTTGAGGAGACTGAGTTTCTCGGGCATGGTGTTTGTGTAGTAGCATTACTACTGCTCTCAGTGAAATGTTTTGCTCTTCTATCAGTTATTTTTAATGTGGCTAGAAGTAAACTGCTAAAATTCTGCAAAACTGACACTGCTGAATAAAAGTAATTACCATGTTAAAGAAAGTGCTTAACAAAGATGTCTTCTTCTACCATTGACAAATATTGGCTTTGTATGCATAGTTCTGCTTATGCATCACAACTGGTGCATAAAAACTTTTCAAATTCTGAGTAACAACACTAAGATTTAAAAAAATGTAGATAAAAATACAATTCTATGCTTTGATGCATCTGCTTTTGCTGGTGCATAATGTGTGGGAATGAAAAGTAATGAATCATTTATTTGAGATGTGGTTTAGCAGGAGAGCAGCACACACAAGTATTGAGTTCACACTGCACATTTTTGTCTGAACACATAATTTTCAAAATCCGCCGGGAAGTGTTTAAAACAATATTTTCATGACTTTGAATTGAGAACTTAATGTGCAGTACCGATGTGCACAAAACATTTTGCAATTGACTCACCAAGATTCCATCCCTCCGTGACGCAAGGGAGGTATTTGAAATTGACCTTCCCATTCATTTCCATTGAAAAAGCTATAGTCTGAAATAAATGCAAAAAATCTGTTTCAAAACCAAAGTTTCCAACATAACATGATATTTATATCCTCAATAATAAAAGAATTTATTTCTGTTAGTCATTTTCCTGCTTGTTTTTTTTTTTGTGTAATTCTCATTTATAAACCATTTGAAACACAAGTTGATCCAGTCTTTCAGACAGAAAGTTTTTCATGACGCAGTGCCATCTGGGTGATTAGGGGTCCTAGGGATACAGTTAGGCTTGCTTTTTGTGCACATAAACCCCTCCAGATTCCTAGAAATTATTTTATGCTCCGGGGAGAGTGAAATATCTAAATCTCTTCCCTTCCCTATCTTTCTTTGAGGAACATTTTTTGAATCCTCTCAATGATTTTCTCATGCGTTTGTAACCGAATCCTCAGCCCATCTTTGCTCCTGTAGGACTAGGCTGTGAGGCCACGCCTCCAGCCCTCAGCCCACCGGTCTATTCAGACCCGGACTGCAAATCATTGTTTGCATCGGTGCGTAAATGCTACTGGGTGGTAGCAGTGCATATATACGACCGAGTCTTTCACTCAGTCTGGTGTGAAGTCTTGTAACTACATGCCTGTGTTGCCTTTTCACTCTTGTATACACGTATTCCCCGCGTTTTGTGTGTATTTGAGCTCTAACTCTAACTTAGTTTTATTGGTTTATTTAGCACTTTGTAGTAAGGAACCTTGCATCTTGTTTGTTTTGTATTGCCATGTTCATGCTTCCTGCTGCGCAGTAGACATAATAAATACAACCAAGTCCATCCTTGCACCTGAGTCTAGTCTCGACTTCCTGTCTACCATGCACCTGAACTGTGTACGAAACACAGCCCTTACATAGGCCCTTGCTGGATTATACTTTTGCATAAAATCATGACATCAGCTGTTTCAGATCACATCAATATCACTTTTTTATCAATATAAATTTTTTTAAACCTAATTATTAGCCCTAAGATGGGCTTTTCCCTACTTTTTTGGAATGCGTCGCAGGCCTGAATGACAGAAATGGAGGAATAATTTCAAGTAAGATAAAGTTGACTTCACAAAACATTAAATTACAATAAAAAAGGTGGGACATTTATATTTTCTCCCAAAAATAGCCCATGCAATGAGCGGAAATGCTTTACAACATAAGATGAGACTTTTTAAATCTGTAAAAATAGGAATATTTAAAGATGAATAAGGTAAAGATTAAGGAAATTGTTGAATTTTTATAGATTTACCCATGGTCATCTCAACAAAGGCTCCAAAAACATTAAATTTAATTTACAAGGAAACCAGACAATTTATTCCAAAATGGGTTTTAGGCCCTTATTTACTGTACAATGCAATTGCCAACACAGAAAATAAACCTTTATGAAGACTTTTTAAATTTCAGGATTTTCTGTTTTAGGCCTTTCCCACGTGGACCAAAAGAGCATTGATAGTGGGAATTACATCAGAAAATGTCTTGTTTCTCCTTTTACTTTCAGAATAATTCCTTTCAAATCCATAGCACATTGGCCACAAGTTCGCCCTGAATTCTGTAGCCTCAGATGTTAGCCAGACTTTGGCTATAATTGTTGTGGGTCATATTCTCATTGGTGCTCCACACTCTACCTTTCTTCCAAAAAGGCACTTGTATGGAAATACAAAAATGGTGGAAGCATGGTAACTTTTTCTGTAATATACCAAAAAAATCCTAATTCTTCAATATCAGATGCTTTAAAATGATGCTTCATATTTAACTGTATTTATAGTAAACTATATTCAAATCAAACATAAGTTGAATTTAAAACAAATAGGACGATAATTATAATTCCATTACCATGTTTTCAAAGAAATAAGTAAAGATATTTTAAAAGTTAGCATTTGTTTTGTTATATAGGCCGATGAAGTGAGAGAATTTATAATTACCAAAAAATTGAAAAGAAATAAGCTCACAAGAAAGACTTATTCAAGATTTTGGTAAAGGAAGTACAATAAAAAAGGTGAGATTTGGGTATCATATCCTAAATGCCACATGCAATAAGAGGAAGTGCTTTACAGCTGAAGATAATAGTTTTACAAACCTGTAAAAATAAGAACATTTCAAGATGAATTTGGTTTGGATTAAGGCGATGGATGACTTTTTTGTAAAAGTAACCTTTAGTCATGTGAACAGTAGTAAGGCTAACAGTTGACTGGTAACATGACTACGCCACTCCTTATTAATGGGTAAGAGAACCCTATTTAGGCTAGATAACACCCCCAAACCCCGAGCAAGTCCAATAAGAAGAAACCAGGATACAGCTGTCATGTACTTAACTCACTTATTTATTTCACAAAGTCATATTCTTTTAAAAGAAGGTGTGCGCTTTCAGGCAGGTGTGCAAACAGCGATTGACTGTGCAAAAGGAAGCAATATGAATGTGCAAATGGGCAATAAATATAAATGAATACGGGCAGATTACTTCAAACAGGTTAACAATAAATAGGTCAGTAAACTACATAGCTTAGAGAACAGAATAAATAATTCCAATAAATTCTGTAGTTAGGGAAACCAATGAATAGTACTATTCACTGTAGAAAAGACTGTACTATGCAAATTGGCATACCAGTTAAGAGGCATTCAACAGCTAGTAATAAATCCAAAGGGTGAGACTGTATCACCAATTAAGTGGGTACTCCAAACAAAAGAACACAAACCAATAAAGCAAAAACAAAATCAATAAACCATCAAAAAGCAAAAATACATCAAAACCCAAAGCAACAAAGTCCATACAGAGGCCACACAAGAGAAGATACCTTCAATAAGGTGTTGCACACACACTTAGATTGTCACACCCAATGATAAATGAAGAGGGTCACAGCCACTCTTAGTAGGCCTACCACTCACTAATGAGCACCCCCTGACCAGTACGAGTGTTGCACAGTGCCGAACAAATATTTGCGTTGCTATTGTAGTAATGAAACACTTGCTATTACCACCTCTGTAGTGCCACAGAGCAGCCTAGATATTGCACAAACCCGAGAAAATATTAAATTAACAATTAGGTAGGCTGTAGGTATCTTATTGCACTTCCCGTAATGCCACTGAAGAATAAATATTGCACAGGCTCGAATAGAATGTTAACGAGTATGCAAGAAGGAACAAACAAGACACACACCCTTACAATGACACACAGCCCACCGCTACGAATTGCCCAGCTACGTTCCTCACATTGAGGAAAATTAAAAGAAAAGAATGAAAACAAACTTAGAGGGGGGCACCACAGTTTTTCCTAAGTCGGAGCATATCCGTGTATGCCAGAATGTGGCAGGCGAAGGGAGGGCCCAGGCGGGGAATTGAAGCCCAGACTCCCCAGTAAGAGTCAAACGCGCTGACCACTTTGCTAAAGAGCCAGGCTCTTTGGCAAGGTAGCCAGGGCGCGTACTTATTAGGAGACATTTCTAGTGATAGGACCCTTCAACTGTCACAGTCACCTCAACAAAGCCTCCAAAAACAGCTAATTTAAAATTTCATTTTCAAGAAAACCAGACATTCACATACGGGTTTCATTTCCTTATGTACAATGCAACTGCCAACTCAGGAAATACAACTTCAATAAGGCTTTTGAAATGTCATAAATTGCCGTTTTAGGCCTTTCTCATGAGGAATTGTCCAAATATCTTCATGCAGTCTGCAATGAAATACAGTATACAGTCAAGTAAATTTAGAAATCACTGCTTTCAATCTTTTTTTGTACATCTTAGATACTGTCCAAACTTTTTCTGAGTTGAATTTGAACAAAAGTATTTGTGAAATGATTTTTTTTTTACATTTGATTGCTCAAATGTGCTTTTAATCTAAAAGGATAATGTGTATACCAAAATAGGCATCTGAGACCACTTTTAAATAAAAAAGATCAAGGCTTTGTAAGACTTCTTGTCAGTACTATATATTAGGCCGGTTTCATAGACACAGATTGAGCTTAATCCTAGACTAAATTCAATTTTCAATAGAAAATCTCCATACAAAACTCTGTTTAGTCCAGGACTACGCTTAAGCCATGTCTGTGAAACTGGCCCATTGATAGTTTTGATAGACAAGTAGCAGACCAAGACAAGGTTTCTGCATATTATTGCACATTATATGACTACTCGTGGGTGATGAATGTGGCTTTTCTGCTCACTATGATTAAAGCAAAATGTTTAGATAAAATAAGTTCCCCCGACAGGTGAAAAAGATGGTTTGCTGTATAGAAGAAAAAGAATGCGGTCCTTTTAATAGCTTAGTGTATCTACAGTAACAGGGACAGCAGAGAGAAAATCCAGAGCCAACTCCAGAGCACATCCATGGTAATAGGCGTGCACTGTGTCTGTCAAGTAAGTAAATAAGTAAATCTTTGAAGGCGTTGTTAAATAGCTATTTTGTCAGAATTGATTTATTTTTTGTGAATTGTCGCAATTGTGCCTGCCACAAAAATGACAATTTTGCAAAAATCAGGTGCATTTGATTGTGAAAATCAGCTGCAGCGCATCTTCTGAGCTATCACTGCAGTCTTTTGGGAAAAGTAAGCATTGTTGAAGGCACGACATTAGTCATCTGCCCTCCGCTAAAGAAACGGGAAATTAAATTTGCAACACAGGGCAAACATTCTTCAGATGTGTGATTCGTCCTCTTAACAGTCAAAAACTGGATATGGACATTTTAGCTGGCAGCACTGCATTTAAAGAATAAAAGTGTGTCATTAAGAGGGAAGGGCTGCCATCATCTTGACATGAATGTTTGTTTGGAGAATGATCATGGTTGAGATGCGAGAGGGAAACGCAGGACATTTTGTGCAATGTGGCTTCGGAGGCATTTCCTGCATCAGCTCTCATAGCGTTATCCCATCGATTCCTCTCCCTCCTCAATCTCACTAACAGGAATTGAAAGAGCTCTGGTTTGCACCGACTTCACTCCCTTTCTCCCTCCCTCCCTACCTTCCCTTATGTGATTGAAGTGAGGCTGGATCTGCCAGACTCCTGATGAGAGAGCAGGGCTGGAACATGATGAATGGGATCAGCCAGTGTGTATTTATTTAACATGGACAAAATGGAAGATTGCTGAGTGTTGCCATTGCCATAGACTAGGCACATGACAAATTAAACTGATCCATATTTTGTATCTCATGTACGGCATTATTAACAAAGTACAATTGTGGTGATCTATTTTTATGATCAGCTGGAGGAAAAGCAAAAACAGAACTTCTTGAATGCGCAAAAAATGTATCCATATTTATAATATTCCAGAATTTTTAGAAAATGACTGTCATATGGATGAGTGCATATTCTGTGCATCAGCCGGGACTTGTATCTACACATCTTAAGTTAATTAAAAACACACTGACCCAATCAGGATTCCCCCCCATCTCACCCCGTGTGACCCTTTGGAGTGGCAAGAGATTGCATAAGGGCACATACCTGCGCGCATGCACACACACACACACACGCACGCACGCACAGACAAAGACACTCCCTAATTAATACTTTCTATTTCCTTCGATTTCCAAAATGTTTTTGTTGAAGACTGGACACTGAAAATGCGAAATTGGACATGTTTCATTCCTTCTCAGTGCCCTCCAATAAAGGATACTATGAAGAAATATGATTGCAACAATGTATTATTATTAATAATAATAAAAAAAAAATAATAATAATGTTTCTGTCATTGATACTGGCTGCGCAGATTAAGAGCAAACTGATGTGCTGCATGCCCTGAGGCCCCTGCCCATGTTCATATAGAGCAGCCTCTCCTCCAAAACTGTAATCCTGGGATGCTAGATGCACTCACAACAGACTCAAAGCACAAATCTTTTTTTTTGGGGGGGGGGGCAAGGACAGGGTAATTTCCAGACTTCTGTTTGTGTGGCAACACAACAGAACAAAGTAACCAGTGGAATTGATTCGGCGTGATCCAGAGTCACCAAAGCAAGTTATCAATCACCACAGTGGAGCAGCCACAGAGAACGAGTTTGCCAATAAACAACACTTATCACCCTCATGGGAACTCTTCCATTTGTCAGGGTCACAACCAGCCCTGGCTGCATGGTCTGAGATCACTGCCGCAGAGCAGTTTTATTTTGCCTTTAAAGAGGCTCAAGTGTCTGCATTCTGCAGCAAGAGGAAGACAAACATGGGGTAGGAAGCCAACTCTCAGGAATGATCTATTCCTCCCACACCTGCCAATACACAGATCTGAGAGGATGAGGGAAGCACACAGCTGGAAACTCCATAGACTACAATTATAATAGCCAGCCTAAATCTTGCAATAAACCATGTTCGAGACAAGACGTTGAGTTTATTTCATATTACTCGTGACTTGCAGCTCTGTACTGCATTCTTAAGACAGCTGTGCAAAGTCATTGTCCAATGAATACATGAATATGTTCAGTTTAGCACACAATACACTGCTGCACATCTTTCAAGCAGAGGCAAATGACTGATGAATGATACACCTGTTAAAATGATTCATGAATAGTTTTTAGCTTTTTTAAAAAAAAAAAAAAAAAAATCTGTAGCTTTTTTTTTGTGCCGAGCTCTTCAAGATGGGCTCATTTTAGGGAGATAAAGCAGTATTCTACAACTCAGCATTGATGTAAGAAAATTTCAAAGCAGGCTAATATTTTTTGGAATTTTGGAATAGTACTGTACTTACAGATTCCCTGACTACTGAGCCAATTTTTAAATGTATTCCAATATTCAAAATCTGCATGTCCCAGACTACACTGTGATAACCCAAAAAAATTAAGCAAAAACTGTTTATTGCATTTTTTATTTTTTGAGTTATGTTTGGAGATCATATTGTCCTATTTTCAGTCAGCTAAAAATCTTAGGAGATTTCCTATTTTAAAAAAAATATGATACTTATTGTTAAGCCACTGCTCATGGATGGTTGGAAACTGACCCGTGACTTGGGGTAATAAAGCTCTTCCGTGCGAACATGACAGAATTTGTTAATTTAATGATAGTGATAATAAAAATCAACAAAAAATATTAACCACATTGAATATGAGAAACCTTATGGCGAGTTAGCTACTGAGGTTTGCAGGCAATGATGACTGCATAATCCCCTCTTGTTCTTGGCAACATTGTAGAGAAAGCACAGAAGGGAGTGCAAAAATAATAAAAATACAAAATAAATGTAAGGATTCTTGTATGAGGAGCAGCCAGTCAGAATAAAAAAATAACAGTCTAATTACACAAACTACCATTGATTTTCCTCATTCTAACCCAATTAATCCTTCTTTGTCAGAATTTTGGGTGAATTTACCTAATGTATTATTTTTCAAAGTTGGCAGTCTATCATTCCAGTAGTAGCGCAGATCCAGTTTGTGTATTTGATTTTTACAACTAAATTGCAATGAAAAATACATTTATCTCTATAATTTACTGTTCAGCTGACTGAAACAATCTGCCTTTATGTATTTCTTTCTGCAAAGCCACACACCGTTCAGGAAAATGAGGCAGTAAGTAAAAGCAAATAATCGATCACTGTCAAACTTGAATAAAATGTAATGAAATATTGATATTGTCATTGCAATCTAAATCACATCAGCCTGCTAGAAGAAAATATCCCCTCAATGGGCTTGGACTGGCCATATTTGGGAAGGGGGATTGCTGGTGCAAAAAATTCCCAGATGGATTAATGATGGGGCTACCTTAGGGCTGGTCTTGGAGATTACGCATTTCAAATGGGAAAACGTAGTGTTGCGTTGCCTCAAGACCCAGCTTCTGCATGCGTTTTGCATTCCTGAGGTTACAGTATGGATTGTGTTTGCAGATATCAGGGATTTATACATCCTTTCCCACAATGCACAGCATGCCCCCATTTTTCTTCCATATGCCCCTGGACCATAACCAAACAATGGGCCTCATGCAGCAAAATTCTCTTAAATTTTCTTATTTTTCTTGTAAGGAGAAAAAAAAAAAGAGAGAATTCAACTCCAGATGCACCAAACATTCTTACCATCCAAATTTGCTCTTACCCATGTGTGTTGAATGATCAATCTGATTTGATCATAAATTGGAGGCGCGTGGCCCATTGTTTGTAATTAGCATAGGTAATGCCGACTGTCAGGGGACACTCAGGTAACACGACAGGGACAGACAAAACCGGAAGTTAGTGCACGGACCAGGCACTTTAATATTAGAATAGAAGTACCAAGGGATAAAGGCAGTATCATAATCAGGAGAACATTATAAAGGGTCAGGCCAGTAAATACAGACTGGAACCAGTGATAAGCAAAAAACAAAAGGCTGGAATAATTACAATATTCCAAGATAATTACAATAACAAATGCTCAGAAAATCAATAAAGGTAACAAAAACGAGCAACACTAATGCTCAAAAGATATACCATAGGAAAAGTACTAATAAAA